AAACAACCCTGAGTCCAAATAGCTTCACACCCATCACCTTGGCTGAATGTCCTGCAGCCCCCGTCGCCCACACTGAAGGACTGACAGCCGTTACCAAGGGCATGGCTGGCTCTGGAGTTTGCCACTCAAGACTCTCCAGCATGTGGGTAACTCCCACGTCAATCTCCTGTCTTCCCCTTCATGAACTTTCTGCTTTAGTCAACTCAGTGCCATGGCGAATCCTGAACACTCTGCACACGTCCTGGACACGTGCACACTCCTCACCTGGCAACCACGCCTGCCCCTGCTGCCATGGGACCCTCTTCCCAATGCCTCCCATGAATCTCTAGCCAGGAGGAGTTTCTTCTCCCAACTTCCATGGCATTTTCTTTCGATGCTTCCCTTTAGCATGGCACTCATCACGTGCACACTAGCTCTACAAATATGTTTATCCTCCTACCTTTCCACATCAATATTGGGTTTTCATGAGGGCAGAGGACCATGTTTAATTACAATAATTGCTATTTATCAGGCACATACCATGACACTTACTTTTGTACATGCATTTTTCTCTAAACATATAATAAGTTCATGAGTAGGCATTATAATTCTCATTTTACAGATGGAAGCATTTCAGTGAAGAGAAGTTCAGTAGTTGGTCCTGAGTCACATAAGCTTTGAGTGGCTGAGCCAAGATCCAAAGACCTTGGTCTTCTTGGCATATCATTCTACCTAGTGGTCTTCTCTGCATCTCTAACACATAGAGAGCTATGGTTAGATGACAGGATAGAGGGATGGATGAATGATAGATGGTAGATGAATGGATGGATGCTGAAAATACCTAATTGACCCAAATCAAAAATGTTACCTTCCTTTATCAGGAGTTATGTAGCCACATACCAAAATGAGATGTGGGAGATGGTTTTGGTTCTAAATAAGCTACCCTCTATGGTAGAGAATCCATTCCTTCTCAACCTTCAGTTTCAGTCCAGCCAACAAAATGCCCTCAAATAATAATAAGTATGTATTTCGTAGGTCATGTAAGCAGTGTGGACCAATGGGAAGACTCTGGAGTGACAGGATCAGCTTCACACCCTCCTCTAGGGACTTACTAGGCTTCTGTCAGGACCCTTCACCAGCATAAGATTCCCTCGAGAGTCAGTGCCCTTGTCTATAAGACAGAAACCACATCTCACAGGGCGGCAGACAGTGATGTTAGGTGATGGAGGTAAAACTTGGCATAACGTGGGCCCTTAACAAATGCTCTTTTTTTTCCCAATCTCTAACTCCAAGCAGTTTAAGAAAATGTGAAAGCAAAAAAATTCTTTAAAAACAAAACACCGAATAAAGGCTTCTCCAGCTCAGCATATGCTTACATGCCACCATCACCCCCTTCCTCCTCCACATTGACTGGCACCGAGTCATTCCTTAGACACCAACAGAAGCCGTTTGGTGCCAGTTGTGTCCCTTCTCCATTTGGTGCCTGTCCTTATGGGGTTTTTCTTTATCTTTGCTTCTACTGACGCTTGAAATTAAGACATATTTCAATTTGCTTTCATGTTTGTGTTGCATTTGAGGTAGAAAAAAACCCAGAAAGCCTTACACTTCACTGAAATGAGAAATCCTGTGATCTCTAGAAAGTCTACCCAGTGTTTGCTGTCTAAAAGGAAAATTCTTCCCTTGTTTATCCAAACCCCTCAGTTTATGTCCAAGGGGAAAGTTCTGTTTCCGTTCCACCTGGCCCTATGGATGTACAATGGATGGATATTCCCACATCCTCCATGGAGACTTCTAGAAGGGAAATTTTCCAACACCTGTTTTGGAAACAAAACTCCCAAGTGCTATGAATAAAATATTTTGGGCATTACATTCCTGCCCATCCCCTCTCGGCAGCCTAGGGGCTGAAATCACCTGTTGTGTTAGAAATGATCCTTGGAGGAACAAGTCCAAGGGGAAAAGTGGAGTTGTCACCCCATCAGGGTTTTCTATTATCTAAACCCAATGCTAACCTGAGACAGGAAGCCCCACATCCTGCGGCCTCATTCACAATCCATAATAGATGATGTTCCTGGAGCCCAAGACGAGAAAAGGAGTTTGCTACGCACATTTTGGCAGAGGTGCGGACCTGGGATTCAGTTTGAGCAGCTGCAACATCAAATGATAAAGTACAAATGCAAACAGCAAAAATGTGCCCATGATAGAGCTCAGAGTGCGCCAAAGCTGACCGAGTAATTATACATTTTTCATGTTTTGATAAGGTATTTCATTGGCATTTTCTGGGGCACCCCTGGGGGAGGGCTCCTAAGAGTCAGAGCTGGCTTTGCGCCCATATCCTGCTACCCTGGCAGCTCCCCATCATCCCCATTAGCTCAAACCACATGGAGAGACGAGAGCGGGACAGAATGAGACACCTTCCTTTTCTTCCAAGTATATTGGAATCCACCCAGGAAAACAAAGCAGGGCAGGTTGGTGAAAAGTGTCGGCAAGTGTTCCAGCCTCTCCACCGTGTACTCGGCTGGGGAAATCATAAAACCACAGTCATTCGAACAGCCATGTACAGTTTACAAGCACTTTGTAAATGGATCCTCTTAATCCTTACACAAAGGGCGGAGAAACACATTTTTATTGTACCCTCTTTTACAGCTATAGAAATGGAGGCTCAGATAGGTCGTGGGACATGCCTGAGGATATACAGCTGGTAAACGCCCCAAATGGGGCAGGATCCAGTCCTTCGTTTCATGCACCTGTGCTGTGCGTTGCCTCCCCCTCACCCAGGCTCCCGTGAGTCTCTCTCATTTTCTGCCTCAAACTGAAGCTATACAGTCAAGGACTTGGAAAATGCCTGAGTGGAAATCTGATTCTCATACCTTCAGGACAGAGATAAGGCAGGTAACTGAGGGAGAAAAAAAATCACTTACCCCTTTCCTATTTGTACAGGAAAAGGTAATAGGCAGAAACCAATGTATTTTAATGACCTGGTTTCTCTTGTCATTGTGCGCCAAAGAGGCAGAAATGGTGATATTCTGGGATAGGGGGATTTCTACTATCATATCACAGGGACATGTGTTCTTTGTGCTTGCTCTTTCTGGTTTCCTGTGCTTTTTCTCTTTCTCCCTCCCCGTGGCAATGTTCTGATTGCTCCTAAAGGACAAGGGGAATGCAGACCTAAGCTCACATTCTGTGCAGATGTAACCATGGCCCTCCCCAGAGGTTTGAGAAGCAATACTAAGCCTTCTGCCCATCACCTTTGTGCACATGAAAAGAGGGACTGGCTAGAATTAGCAAATCCTTGGGGATCCCCAGTTCAAAGCCCTTCAGTGAACCCCTTCTCAGTAACAAAGGGGGCCTCCTGCTCCATGGGGAGTGAAGGTGCAGGAAGGCACCAGCTATCAAGAAACAGCACTCCAAGGAACATCTGCCCTGGCCTCTCTTTTCTTAAAGTGTGTCAGAGTTCTGATGTCTATCAAGACAGAAACAGGACCCTTGGAGGTGCTTTGAGAGGCCTGACTCCAGACCAGGCCAGGAGCCCAGGTCAATCCTGTAACCATATTCTGAACAATCAACTAGAATGCACCCAGGAAGGATGTTCTGATTATTTTAATGTTCTGGTTAATTGGGAACAGAGTAGGGTGTATTGAATATAATTAAATCTTTCATTGATGATTGAGAATCTTGCACTGCCCTGGGGCAGTCATTCTAAATATCAATTATAAATCCCCACCGGTGGGAATACAGGAGATTGAGCTCAACCTGCAGTGACTTCCTAGGCCAACTGCAAATTTATTTTGAGGTCCAATCCCACCCCGAGCACTCCTACACCAGATGCATTCTTGCCTTTTATGGATCACATAGAACGGGTCAACAGACACTAAGTCAACCAGATACTGAAGTTCTTTGGTGCTAGTCCCAGTTCTATTAAGAAGTTATGTGAGCTTGGGCAATTTATCCACGTCTGAGACTCAGTTTCCTTATCTGTACCCTGAAGGGTTGGATTTATTGATTATTAAACTTTTTAAGGATACAGATTTCCTAATGAATCAGGAGAAAACTAAAGCAGCTTTTCATAGCAGGGAAAAATTAACGTAAGCGCCAAACATTTGCCTTCTAAATCAGAGCATGGAGTCATGGAGTCACTCAAGGCCATCATCTTGTGACACCTTGCATGGACGTCAGGCTTAAAATCTTGGTGTGGAAGACCCCTTGGGCCCCTTTGAGCTCTGGCATTCCCTGCATCCAGCTAAGTGCAAGCATCTCCCCACGTGTGGGAAGCAGCGGATCTCGGCCCTTAAGTGCACAGAGGGACCACCCCGAGGGTTTCCAAAGTCCTAGCACGCTGATCGCTGGCAGGCCAATTAAATCCAATGTTGGAGGGTAGGCCCCAGGCATCAGCATTTATCTAACACCCTCCAAGGGATTCTAGTACTCAGGCAAGTGTGTAAAGTACTGCTTGCGGACAAGAATTTTCTAAATTAGGAGTGAAAAGAATCACCCACAGGATAGGCAGGTTCCCAGGCCCTGGACCCTGGCTGTCCCAGTTCCTTCAGCCAGATCCTGCCTGGAAAGATGCGCATTAGCAGGCGCCCCGAGCAGCTGTGCTGCAGCCCACTCTAGGGAGCCCAGGACTAGCCCCTCAGCAGAGAGGCCGGGGGAGTCCTCTCCCTGCTACTCTCCCCTCCCTGAGGTCTCCCGCCTGCTCAGGTAGGGCTCTAACAGGACTCCCTCGGCCTGACGGCCCTCTTCTCCATCTCTAGCAAACCTGGATCTTTTAGCCCAAGCCTCAAATCCCACCAGCTTCAATAATGTAAGCAGAGCACACTCACCAAACATGGTTGTGTTTAATTTTTAAACACCGTAGCATCACTGAGGTCAGCCTCAAGGTGAGAGCAGCTGCAGAGGCTCGGTGCCCTCGCTGGTTAGCAAAGCGGCCCCCGGTGCCAGAGGGGACAGCGGGAGCCGGCGCCGGGCAGGCCCAGCCCACGGAGCCCCGGCCGCCCGGGCCTGCACCCTCTGCGTCTGCCTACCTGAAGCGTGCGCAGCAGGGCCTGCAGCCCGCTGCCTTCTTGTTCGGCCATCCCTTTCTCGGGTCCTGAGGGGGCTGGAGAGCCCGGCCTCGCTGCCCACCTCCGGGGAGCCTGCCGCGCCGCACGGAGGCCTCAGCCGCACATGCTGCTGGGCGTGAGGTCACCGCGGCGCAGCCCCAGACCTCGGCGCAGGCGCCAGTGCCCCCCACTCCCGCGGCGGGGATTAGGTGAGCCGGGCGTGGGGGTGGAGAGGGCCCCAGCCTGAGTCACTCACCCACCTCCAGGCCCGTGCAGGAGCCCTGGAGGGCTGACAGGCATTCCCAGCTGACCTGCTCAGACTCCCTGCAGAGGCTCGTCTGGCTCTCCCCGCCTGTCCCCCCCTTTTCTTTGGTCTGCTGCCGGCTGCTGGGTAACAGGAGACCCAAGCATGCTTGCACAACCGTGGCTGTGCAGGGCGCAGAAGCCCAGGGCCCCCTGAGGTCCACGGCTTAGGGACTGGAGCTCTGGCCCAGAGGGAAAATAACTGCCCCGGACGTTTTCTATACCCATCCTGTCTGTGATCTGTTCACTTTCCCAATAACCCTAAGGACGGAGCACTTTCATTATCACCCACCCTACCCCTGTCTTACAAATGAGAAAACTGAAGCACAGAGATGTTAAGCCACAAGGAAGGTCTCAAACAAGCACACCGACAGCACAGGCCAAGCCTAACCATGACACCAGCCTGCCCCTTGCTGCTGCGAACCACTAATCCGTGGAATGGAGGGCTGGCAGCCTGCCCCAGCTATGTTCTCTCCACACCAACACGGGACGCAGTGTCTCTTTATGTCTTCAGCTTGGAATGTGGTGGAAGAGTTTGAATGGCTAATTGGCCACCTAATCCTCCTCCCTTGTCAACACCTAAGTATCTTGTGGTCCTGCACATGCTATGCTTGGGGGCATCACCTGGAAGCTTCTGAGCAGCACCCCCACACAGCCAGATTCCCTGAACAGAATTTGCATTTTCACAAGATCCCCAGGGGATTCATAGCTGGTTAACAAAATCACTAGAGGGCTGAAGTTTGGGAAGCCCTAACTTCGGCCATATTGATTACCTGGCGGGGAACGACCTACATGTTCGTTGTTTGAGAATTTCCGACCCAGTTTTACTGGGACCCAGCAAGCTCCAAGCACAACATCAGCGCGTGAAATCGGAGCATGAGCTCATTGAGGTGCATGACCGACTGAGAGCACAGCTAGACAGGGAGGCCTCGGCGCACAGCCAACACCCCGTGCGCAGTCTGAGGATCTTTCATGAGCAGCAGAGCCTCCAGCTAGCAGCTGCCCGACCGTGTTGTGGTGGCTGCGGAAAGAGTTCGCATTTCCTGATCTTAGTTGGCCCAAATGCATCCAAGTCCTGAGTCAGGAGTCAGGCAGCTCCCTCCCCAGTGCCAGGCCTGGCTGTGCCCCCAAAATTCAAGGACAAACTAAAGTGGTTCTTGCCCTCCAGAAACTTCCACTCTTATGGCCTTACATGTGAAGACCTCTCATACTGGGAACCGATGATAATGTCTCACATTTACTCTCATCTCCTTATACATCCTACCACCTCTGATGAGAGAAGATATAAAGGCCCCTAAGGTTTCCACCCTCTGTGAAGGATGGGGCTTTTGAGGGCACAAGCATCCTGTGATCCTCTATGGTCCTGGGGCACAGAGAGGACTGAACTATCCCATGTGATTATTACTTAAAGGGAGATCTACCTATTTCTTGATTACAGGATAAAGTAAAGAGAGTGGGAAGGAAAAATAAAACCTCCCTCCCCACATATACCTAAAGAACAGGTTAAAGGGAAAAGAATAAAAACACCTTGTAGAGAGAATTCATAAAAATGACCTCTGAGGACGTTGCTAAAGGTATTATGGTCAGACTCCCTTACGTTAGCATTCAGGTAAAATTCTTCCCATTTGAAAGGGTGCCTTGGTTCCACTCACTGGAATTGTAGAGGTCAGAGTGAGGACAAACCCTGTGCACAGAGGTATCACTCTCTTCTACTTAATGACACCTTTCCCCCTGCTGTACTGAACCTTGTTTTCAGTAAGCAAATAAGTTTTCAATTTTCAAATACATTTCAGTTTCCAAATAAGGTGAGGAGTGGGTTCCTTCTTTCTCTGAGGACATGCCTGTGTCACATGCCTGGCTTGGCCCCAATTCCCCTTCTCCCCTGGCAAAGCCCTACCCTCTGAGTCCACGGCCACTTGCCCACATGGACACACATGGATGCCTGACAAGGGAGAAAGCGCTGTTTGTGCCCTCTGATTTTCTGACAAAATCAGGGCTTGTTTCTAGCTTCAGTTCAGCTCCCATCATTCCTTCACCATGATCTTCCTGCCCTCGGCCAACACACCTCGACAGTGCCTGGGGGGCCCCCGGAAACCCTGCTCCTTGCCCCAGGGGAAGAGCCTTCCTTACTCTCAAGCTTAAGGGAAGCTGCCACAGCGCCCCTGCCCACATCTCCCTGCCCTGAATTGCATCTTCATGAGAATCCAGTTCTGTTCATGGGCAGATTCATTTAGTCTTCAGTGTGAATGGGTGATAGGGGCTCGGTGTGTGCTTCCCCATTAGTATTGGAATTTTAGCAGAGACTTTCCTAAAAGGCAGGAGCTGAGACCCAAGCTTGGGTGACACAGTATATTGCCCTAAGTGTACTGAGGTGACTGCTCATCGAACTACACGGCACAGCCAACAGGGGAGTGTCAGGCCCCGGGCCAAGCAGGGGGGAGGTCACTTTGTGCCGAGGAGGAAGGCCTTCCTACTGCTTCACTTTGTACCTTTGAAAGGAGGCAGTTAGGGGTGCCACACAGCAGATCCAGGCAAAAGCAAGGATAGAACTCAAAATTTTTTTTTTTAATTTTTGGATACGGTACAGAGATTCCTGTTGCAGTTCAGGGATTCCTAAGACCACCCTCAGATGCAGTGATTCCCTAAAGGACTTAGAGCCATTATACTCCCAGTTACGCTTTATCACCATGGAAGGATACAGATTAAAATCAGCAAAGGGGACAGGCACAAGGGGCAGGGCCCACAAGAGAGCAGGCCTACGCTACCTGCTCTCCTCTTCCAGTGCACAGTGCTTGTGTCTCCCAGCAAGAGTGCAAAACAATGTGCACAGAGTATTGCTTCCCCCTGGCTCCCTGTCCAGGGGTCATGTAGACATTGCTGACCTTGGTCTCCAGCTCTTTCAGAGGTCCAGGTCCCCACCTAAATCATATTCTTTGCACAGACTATCAAGCAAGGACCCCAGGTAAACAAAGACACTCTTACCAGGCAGGGCATTCTAAGGATTTAGAGATTACCTCCCAGGAGCTGGGCAAGAGCCAGACTTTTCTCTGGACAAAGCAAATCCCTCACTGCACACCTGCCTCTCATTCCCATAATCTCAGGCCCAGGACTCTCCTAATATCTTGCGGATGAGACAGAGAAAAAAAGCATAGGCCTGTACAGTCAGGATGACTCCATAATTAGAAGCATAGCAGTACTCAGAGTGGTAATGGATAAACTGACAGTAACATAGACAGCGTTTCCTAGTGGCAGCCAGAAAATTCAGTCCCTGGCTCTCTTTTCTATTCAACATTTTTATCTATGACTTGGGTGAAAATAAAGGCTGCATGCTTATCAGATTTTCTGATGACATCCAGTTGAGAATGATAGAAATATGTCAGATGACATAGTTGGGATCCAAAAAGACTTCAGCAGCCGTGAGTAATGGGCCACATCCTACAGGGTGAAATAGAACAGAGCCAGGTGGGTGCTCCTTCCCTTGGGTCCCTAGCACCAACTGTGTAAAAAGAAGGTGGGGAGACACCCAAACAGTGCTGGGTATAGTTGGTGTTTAGCCAGAAGTGAGACCCATATGAGTTGTCAGCATATCCGATATCCTATATCCCAAAATACCTTTTCAATCTAATGTCATCACCATTAAAAGGGGGACAAACTCTACCTGTAACCAACACAGCAGTGAGGCTGAGCTGAGGTCCCACCTGTGCAGGGGCTCCACACAGGGCCTGACCCAGAGGACACAGCGGTCGATGACAGCTATGCATATATTATCATAAGGGACATCACTAAGAGAGATGCTGCAACTGCAACAGAGGCAAGCAGATCCTGCTCAACACTTCTCAGCCTCTAGAGGTACATGAAAGCTGTTCCCAAGGCTGGAAAGGACGTGAAGGCAGAATGGGTTCTGAAGGCAAGGACCAGGAGCAAAGGGTGGAGCCACAAGGTGCTGGGTCCGGGAGGGGCGCGGAAGGGTCCTGAGCTTGCTCAGGCTGCAGACGGGGCTGCTTCCCAACACCAGGGGTGTCCAGGGGGACTGAAAGATCATAGGATCAGAAGGCTCCAGAGTGGAATTCCAGAACTGGGTGCCTTTGATGGGCCATAGGTTTAGCAACTGGATGAGATGAAGAGAAAGAGGTTGTTGTTGACTGGCCCCAGGTCACACAGCCAGGAGATGGGACGGGTGGGACGGTGTCCTTCCTCACCTCCTCTCTTGAATGTGCTCCCCTCTCCCTGGTGGCACATGAGACGATTTTGGTGGAACCTAATTAAGCAGTTTAAATTTCAATAGATAGGTTATATTTGGACCTTTATTCGAAAAAAAAGCCTAATTAGCATAATAAAACCACATTTTCTCAGGTATTTTCACAATTAAATTTAAAGTGTAGAAATGAGTTGATGTTGAATAGTACACATGGCACCCCAAAACAGCAAAAATACAGAGGAAGAGAGGCTAATAGCTAATTATGAAAGGACACATGGCTCCATGCTTTCTGTCTAATACTTAGCTCAGATAATCTCTTCTCTAATCTGCTAGTGAGACTGAAGTGCCCTCAAATAATAGCTAACACCCCTTTCCTCAGATACATTTTAAGCTGATTAATATAAACACATCCCCAAGTACCCACATGCGACCCATCTGTCTATAATGATGATTTCCATATAATGTCACTGTCTGTAAACTTTTTCCTGCTCTGGTTTTCTCCATTTTTACTTCCCTGGGTTTGTTTTTCTTTATGCCCCATCTCCAGCACACACATGTATATACACACTGGTGCGTACACACACAGATACACCCGTGCTCCATAACCTTCTGCCAATCAGGAGGCTGCCTTGTCTGTGTGATATGAGAGGTGATGGACTGTCCCTCAAAGATTTCCTTCACCTTCTCCTTAATGCATGAAATTCCTAAGGGGGATCTTAGCTGGCCTAGAAAGATGTAGTGACTTAGATGGTCACAAATTCAGGTATCTTGGGAA